TTTTAAACAAGTCCTTTGGTGGGGATACAAACCAGCAGTACAGGGTTAAATGACTTTCTTTATTACAGCGTTGGTTTCTAGACCTTTGTTTTAAAACCTGATTTCAGACTTTTGGAGGGAATTTTTCCAGACCAAAGATACCAGCCTGACAGTAGAGGCACAGGGTTCCCATTTAATTTTACCCAACACATCAGACGATAGTAGGGAAGAAAAATTAATAGACAAATTGCTTGGTGTGGTGGTGCACACCTGTAATCCCAGCACTTGGGAGGCTGAGACAGGAGGATTGCCACAAGTTGAGGCCAGCCTGAGCTACATAGTGAACTCAAGGCCAGCCTTAACTACATGGAGAGACCTGGTCTCCAAAACACAAAAAATAAACAAACAAAAGACAAATATAGGGGCTGGGGATTTAGCTCAGCGGCAAAGCGCCTGCCTGGCAAGCACAAGGTCGTGAGTTCGGTTCCCGGTACTGGAGAAAAACCAAAAAAACCAAAAAAACAAAACAAAACAAAACAAAACAAAAAAAAGACAAATGTAAATAAAGGCTCTGTGTCCTGTAAAAAAAACTCCAAAAACTGCCTTTTCCACATTCTGCTTAGAAAGAACTAAACAGAAACTATTTTTCTAGTCATAAGACTCTCTCATTAATCTTTACAGCAAATGCCTTTAGCAGGTGTCCTATACCATGCTCAGTATTGGGCTAATGAAAGATGACCATGACCTTCTGAGGTTCTGTCACCGCACTGCTCATGCTGTGTAAGAAAAGCCACGACAGTGACTGTCTCACCCCGAGGGACCCCTGCCTCTACCTGAAGACCAAACAGGTGACCCCTGGCGGTCCCCTCCACCCCAGCCTTTCTCAGATTCCTCTGTTTCCACAGGTGTTTGAGTGACAGGCATCAAAAGCAGTGAAGCAATGCCTTTTCAAAAACGGGGAAGAGGCCAATGGATTTTTTTTTTTTTTGGTCTTTTTGAGACAGGGTCTCGCTATGCAGTTCAGGCTGAACTTGAGCTCACTTTGTAGCCCAGGCTGGTCTCGAACTCCCAAGGATCCTCCTGCCTCAGCCTCCCAAGTGCTGGGATTACAGACGTGCGTCACCACGCCTGGCGAGGTCAATGGATTTAATCCTTGCCTCTGTGGCTCCCGGGCTTGGGCTCCAGCCTGGGATTCCCGCTTGTCCGTGTCTCGACTTGCAAGAATGACTGAATTTGGTTTGTTTTGGTACCAGGAATTGAACTCAAAACCTTGCACTGGCCAGGCAGGCGCTGTGCTGCTGAGCTACACCTCCGGCCCAGTGACTGCATTTGTGTGGCACCTGGACAGAGGCACTCAGCACTCAGGAGGTCTCAGGACACCCGCAGGGCAGCCAGGTCAGTCTCTTGGGTCACAGGGAGCTCATTCTTGCATCCTGGCTTGGAAACACTGTCTGGCCATTAACATTCGTGGGTCAGGTCCATGGAGCCAAAAGTACCCAGCACCAGATGGAACCAAACCTGCTGGGCCATTTTCCCAAAGAGTCCATCAAGTCCTGGCTATAATCATCAAACTACTGGATTTAAAGCATGAGTATATGTGTGGTGAGGAATGCTCTGGGTGAATTCTACTCTCTTTTCCAGCTCCTGCACCCATTCAATGAAAACTTTATTATTATTTTAGAATCAAATTAAAGGAAAGTGCGATGAAGCATAATATGGTTTTCTGCCTTGAAGGCTCTGTTCTTGAATACAAAGGAGAAATAAGATTTTCTTTTTGAGACAGGGTCTCAATATGTAGTTTATACTTATCTTGAACTATCAGTGATCCTCCTGCCTCAGCCTTCTGCGTGTTGGGATTACAGGCATGCGGCAACACACCCAAGGCGTTTTTATGTGTAAATATATATTGTTCCAAGAAATAAAGGAATAATTGCAGCTTGAGGTAGAAAGTAACACTTTTCCAGAAAGAAAAAGCTGTAAGTAAACTGCCATTGCAGTGGGGCAGGAAGGGTCGCCCTTGGACAGTTAAGTGCTCCTGAGAGAAGGTGGGACACCAGTACCTCATGAGAGCCCTGCACCAGGAATCCAGCAGGTACCCACAGCAGGACAGAAAAGGAAGCAGAGGAATACCTGACCAGATTGAAGTTCACAGTTTGTATGTGAAGCTCTGCTAAAAAAAGATGGGACGAGGGGTTTGAGGTGAGGTGGGAAAAATGGTTAGAATTCATCATTTATATAGAACTTGATAAAAGTTCTACTTTTCTTTTTTTTTTTTTTTTTTTTTTTTTTTTTGTTTTGGTTTTGGTTTTTCTCCAGTACCGGGAACCGAACTCATGACCTTGTGCTTGGCCAGGCAGGCGCTTTGCCGCTGAGCTAAATCCCCAGCCCCAAAGTTCTACTTTTTTGTAGCGCTCCTGGGGTTTGAACCCAGGCCTTCACATGGAGCTACATCCCCAGCCTTTTCATTTTTATTTTTTTTTTAAACTGAGTCTGGTTCTCACTAAGTTGCTAAACTTCCCAGGTTAGGCTTGAATTTGCAATCCTCCTGCCTCAGCCTCCCAGAATGCTGGGATTACAGGTGTGTACCCTCACACCCAGCTTCATTTACTTTTAATTTATGTGTTACATTTTTGTGTATCTTTATGAGGGACCCAAATCCTTTTTTCCTACATAAAATAAGGGAAAAAAATCAACAGGAAGCTGAGCTGTCTGCCTGCCCCTTCCCCGCGTGGAGGGGAGTTTTGGGTCTCTTTCGCGGCCGTGGAGCTCAAGCAGGAAGTTTAAGGATCTGTGAGGGAACGTCTCTGGCTCCTTGGAGCGTGTGAGAGAGAATGCTCCAGCGCCTGCTCTCCTGTCCTGCAGGTTGACAACAGGGACTGGGCCCTGAACGGGAACACCCTGTCCCTGGATAAGGACATGGTCATCGACGTGCTGGAGACCTGCAGGTGCAGCCACCAACCTGGTCCCTCATTTCTTTATAGCAGAGAACTGAGGATCTTCTACTGTCTTTAAAAACAACTCCTTCTCAGGGCTAGGGATTTAACTCAGTGGCACAGCGCCTGCCTGGCAAGGGCAAGGTTGTGAGTTTGATTCCCGGTACTGCAAAAAAAAAAACTGACTCCTTTTCTTCAAAAAAGGGGGCCTGGGTTACATTGCAGGCGCTGGGATCACCCCGCAGCTGTCAGCTCGGCCACTTCCTTCCCGCAGCACTGTCCTGGCTTTGTGGAGTGGCACTGTCTCCCACACTCCTACAGCCTGCAGTTGCTAGGTCCCAACCTATGGGTCTGAACATAGCTGACTATCACGGCTCTAAATTCCATCACCTGCTTGAGAATCCAGATGGTCACTTCGCTTCTGAAGCCGACCTGGGTTAAGAAACGCTGCCGGAAAGCTGCACTCGTGCAACACCATCTCTCCTTTATTAATTTTTAATTTTTTGAGACAGGTCTCTCTATGTAGCCCAGGCTAGCCTTGAACTCTTGGCAACCCTCCTGCTTCAGCCTCCCAAGTGCTGGGATTACAGGCGTGTGCCATCACACCCAGCACTCCAAATCTGCTTAAATGAGGGCAACGAGCCTGTGCCATACAGCCTCCTTAAACAAAGGGTGAAAGCAACAGTATTTTACTGGGAAGCTAGGTGTGGTGGTGCATGCTTGTGAAATCTGGGAAGCTGAGGCAGGAGGACTGCAAGTTCAAGGCCAGCCTGGGCAATTTAGTGACTTATGGAGGAGGCCTTATCTCAAAATAAAATAACATAAAGGGGTGTTATGGTTTGTGTCTGTGTGTCCCCCCAAAGCCTCATGTGGCCATGGGGCAGGCTTTTAGAGTTTGATTGATTATGGGTGTGAGAGTTGCACCCGCCCTGGGGTGGATAGTTTGCATATGTAAGGGAGAGGAAGAGGGTGCTTCTGGCCATTTCCTCCCTTGTGTGTGCTTGTTGCTTTTGCTGTGTTCTGCTGCCATGAGCTGTAGCCCTCTGCCATGTGCCAGTCTGCCTTGTAATCTGCCAAGTATGGACTGAAACCTCCACAAACTGTAAGAGAAATAAACCTTTCCTTCCTTAATTTTGGGCGTCAGGTGTTTTGTCCCAGTAACAAGAGAAAAGTACCAAGACAAGGGGTTAGAGGTGTAGCTCCATACAAAGGCCCTAAGTTCAATCCACAGTAATACAAAAGAAAAAAAAAAATTTAGCTAGAGGAGAACTGTGGGAAATACTAGTCCTGACATGTGGAGATGTCATAAAAAAAGACCGTTCATCACAAAGATAAGCACTGGAAATGCTGAGTGAAGAGCTCAGACCTCCCGAGGGTGCCTGTTGGTGTCAGACTGCTGGGACTGCACCGTGTGGCCGTGGAGAGCTTTGTGGAGAACTTTCTCGGGCAATCTCATGGGGGACAGGGACGGCGGGGAGAAATGAAGCCAAGCAAGGCGGCAGCAGCAGCCCCAGCTTTATTCAGGCTACAGAGAAGTCATCCCTGGGCGAGTGGGCTAAGTGCACTGGAGCGTAACCTCACGTGTGGAGAAGAGCGTGACTCAGGGCTGGGGATGTAGCTCAGCGGTACAAGAGCCTGCCTGGCAAGCGTGAGGCCCCGAGTTCGATTCCCAGTACCAAAAAACAAAACAAAACAAAAAAAACAGGGCAACTCAGTTGCCACTGGCACTGAATGAGCTGGTCACCGACAAGAGTGACCCCCTTTGCGTGACTTCATCACAGGCGCTACAGCACTTGGACGGTCAGGTGAGCTCCATCAAGGATTGGGTGACTGGGGAATGAATTTACGCAAGACCTGCCCCTTGAAGTCTGGCACGGCAGAGCATCACCAGACAAGTGTGCACTGTGCTCAGCACGCCTCGGCTGTCTTCCTGGAGCTGCTGGGGTCCCTTCCCTGGCACCAAAGCAGTGCGTGCCGCAGGTCCTGTGCATAGTTTTGTATCAATTGCACAACCTTGATTTGTATCATTCCTTCATATGAAACAGCCCCCCATACAGAAAACAGGGCAGCACGAAGCGGCGGAGCTACCTGCCATCGAAGAAGAAGAACTTCCCGCGTCCGTTTTTCTCCCCATGAATGAAGCTGCCCTCGAATCTGTCTGTGGAGGAGTAGGTGACGGTGCAGAAGCCGTGCGGTAATCCGTCCTCATCCAGGTGCCCTAAGAAGGAACCACAGTGAAACTTAACACGGCCCCGCTCCTCCACCGCCCACCCGAGGGCCCCTTCCCTGGCACAAGGCCACCGAGCACCCAAAGCTTTCTCACCCAGCCTGTACTGCGGAACCCACTGGACTGTTACACAGATGGTGTGCTAACGCGCCTGCACAGAGGGGCATGGATGGGTTTTGGAATATGAGACAGAAATAGGCTTGCATTTTCCTGGGACTGAGAGATAGTGTCAGTAATAGCATCTGCAGTGCTGCTTACAACTTACTGGGTACCTCCCCACCTAGCACTTGTCCTACTTGGAACAAACGTCCTCCGTCACCCATGCTTTGCTGAAACGGGGTTCGGGATGCACAGTTAGAGTCTGCTGCCTGCTGCTCTGCGTGTGGAATACGTTAGCTAAGTCTTGCGTGTTGTGAGTATGCAGTGTGATTTCATGTACCATCTGCAGTAGGACGAGGAGGACGGAGCCAATCTGAAAACCCCAGTCACATGTCACACTAGACCACAAAGGACAGAGCCACGTCATCCATACCGCCATAGCAGTATTTATACACTTCATTGATGGAAGCCCTTCTGAGTTTAAACTTAAGCCTAACTTTACTGTTTTACTCTGCAAAATCGTTTAGCAATAACCTTATCAGACACTTCCTACCACTGTGTGTCAGGGAGTTCTGTTTTAAATGGAGCCAGAAGTGTCCCCGTAGCCACTTAAGTAGCGATCCTGAACTTCGGCGGGAGTCATTACCCTCATCTTTTAATTGCTGGCTCCCCCGGGGTCGCAGAGGACACTGTAATAATACATGCATCCCCATCACTGTTTCGGGTCCCCCTTACTCTCCCCCTGCCGCACAAACCTCAGGAGTCACCCATGGGTGTCTGCCCAGTCATGCCGGCGAACTCATTTTGCAGAGATGGGTGAAAACAAAACCAGCAATTACTCTACTGGCCTTTTCCTGGGCTAACCACCCGGGCCATGGATGAAAACATTAAACCCTGTGCGGTGCAGGCACATTAAACACTAACATGTGGCTTCCGGAGGGCTTGTGGGCATAAAAGAAAACACAGGCCATATCACCATGATGGATGCACCTTGGTCTCCTAAACTGATTTCGTCTAACATGACAAAAGCATAAGGCCCTAGGTTCCATCCATAGCACTTCAAAAAAAAAAAAAAAAAAATCCAAGAATATTATTCCTCGGAAGGGACAGTGAATTACAAAGAATTAATACACTATTTGTATTATTGATTACAGAAACACTACAACAGCAGAAAAGTACAATATTCTCTTGCTATACCTGACTCCCCATAGGATGGGTTACCTTGAAAATAGTGCAATAAACATGGCTACTTAAATACTTCGGCATCTGGATGGTTCTTTTCTTCTTAATGTGAACTTTTTCTACAGGAAATTAATAACCAGAAAGAAGCTAGGCCCTAGTTGCTTCCTTTTCATACAAAAACCCATGGTACGTGACATAATTTAGTGACTCTTGAATTATATAAAATAATTTGGACCATTATTTTCCAAATATCTACTGGTGACATTTTCTCCATGAAAAAGAAGAATTTTAGTTTTTTCCTCTTCCCAAAAAGCCACACAGTGGACAGCTGAAAGCTTTCTTTTACAAAATGTTACTGGGATCAAATTAAATTTAGCCATCAACATTCCTATAGATTTAGTGTCCTACTTTTGACTTAGGTACAAATATCTGAACAATCAGGTTAGCCTCATAGGAGAGTATGCATTAATTTGTTGAAAATGCTTTCCTCAAAGAAAACAGTTCACAATTTCAGACTTTAAAAAGTTAATGTTGATAGATTTTATTTCTTTTTGTGTGTTGATGGATTTTATTTCATTTTAGGTCAAGAGAAATGTGATGGTAACCACGTACATGAAAGGAGAAAAACTGCAATGTAGATTCACTCCACCTGCACGCTGCCCTATTTCTGAAGAAATCAGTGGAGGGGCTGTAGAATTCAGCTATTACAGAAACTGGGTGGTGTGGATAACACAGGAAAACCACCGTGCTGAGCCCAACTGAGACAGAACAAAAATCTCAGCCCTGCTCCGTGAAGGATGCCCGTTTCAATGCCTTTTGCTTTTGTCTTTTTTCCTTTTTGCTCCTTTCAGGGACAATGGGGTGTAGCTCAGCGGCAGAGCTTGCCTAGCATGCAGTTAGGAAAAGGTGCATGTGTATGTGACCTTTTCCTGATATTTATTTATTTATTTATTTATTTTTTCCTGGTATTTAAAAAAATTTAAGTTTTTGTCTTAGTGGGGCTGGGGATTTAGCTCAGTGGCACAGCGCCTGCCTGGCAAGTGCAAGGTTGTGAGTTCGATTCCCGGTACCGCAGAAACACCAAAAAGAATTTTTTCTTTTTTGTTAGTACATGTTTGCAGTACATAATGATTACATTTGTCATGGACCCCCTCCCCCACCAGCAAGGAACCCATGGCCTTATGCACGGTAGGCAAGTGTTCCACCACGGACCGTGTCCCCGGTCCCTTCCCTGCAATTCTTGAGGTTTTTAGGCTGCTTGGGGGAATTCTAAAATCTAGTAGACCACAGCCTTCTTTTTTTGTCTCTGCATCCTTAGGAGGTGATCAACTAAATGAACGAGAAATTGGAGGTTGTGATCATTCAGGATTTCCACTCTGCATATTTAACAGTCCACAGTAGTTTTCCAAACAGAAGTTTACATCTAAAAAACCCAGCCACAACCGACCCAGTCACCACAAAGAAATAAAGGGTAGGAAGAGATGGGATCACTACAACCCACATCTCCTCTCTCTCTCTCTCTTTTTTGTCTTTTTGATACGCAGTTCAGGCTGGCCTTGAGTTCACTCTGTAGCCGAGGCTGGTCTCAAACTTGCAAAGATCCTCCTGCCTCAGCCTCCCGAGTGCTAGGATTACAGGCGTGCACCACCACACCCGGTGTCTCCTAACATAATGCTTATTCAAATGCCATTTGAAAATAAGATCACGTGATACTGTGTCACAGTAGGAACAGTCAATTTATTTTTTAATTTTAAATTTTTTTTAGACAGTCTTGCTATGTAGCCCAGGCTGGCCTCAAACTCACGGTGGTCCTCCTGCCTCAGCCTCCCTCCCAAGTGCTGAGATTACAGCCGTGACCCACCATGCCCAGCAGTAATAGCCAGTTTAATGGAGAGAGATACTGATACACAGAGAATAAGAAAAAAATTCCTGGCCCTGGGCTAAGAGCTTTCTTGTTATCAAATTTAAATCTCACAATAATCTCCCAAATTTCCATTTTACAGAGAAGTCCTCAGCACCATCTGACAACGGCATGTACTGAGGTTCCCAGAAAGTCACTTTCTCTCTAGAGGAGGTTGAACCAGCTGAGCAGCCTTCCTTCCTTGCTGAGAGTAGACTGAAGACCCTAGGATTTTGAAGGCCCCTGGCAAAGAGGTGGAAGACAACTTTGTAGCCAAGATCACCCTCTCAGAACTGCCAAGGTTTTTCAACCGCATATCCTGGTTGAAAATTCCTGTCCCCGGCCAGCGTTACCTAACTCAGAGAGAAACACCCGTCCTCCCAGCTCCGATTGAGGTCAGCGTGCAGAGTGTGCCAAGGCGCTCCGGCGACAGCCTCTGAGCCAGTCCCCACTGGGCGGCCAGCGCCAGGTGGCCCGGAACGGGGCTCTCTGTTTGAGATGCCCTGCGTCTGCATCTGGCCACGTATTTATGGCAAGTACAGAAAGGAAAAGGAAAAAGCGACCATTTCAAAAGTCTGCTTCTCTACTTTGTCATAAAGATCATTACCTACCGAGTGGATGGAAAGCTACCTTTTCCCTGGAGCTACTTCTGAGCGAGGTTTCTCCCTGGGCGAAGGCAGCCAGGCCTGCACTCTGCGACAGGAAACTCCCCTTGGGATCCGGCGCCTGGCCCGGCTGCCTCCGGGCTTCCTCACCGGCACCCCGAGAGTGAGTGTGCATGTTTCCCTCAGAACCAAGAACCCTACACACGCTGTGGGACTTGCAGATCGGAACACGCCCCCCCTCCCCCCAAAGTTACAACAGGCAAGCCAAGAACTGCGAAGAACAGGGCCTGGTGACGCAGTCACACGTGCCGTCAGAAATGTCACTTCACTCTCAGGACGGTTCTGTGCAAGGGCTCGGCTGCTGGGTGAGCGAGGGCCCTGATGTTACTATGTGGGGCACAAGGGGCACTGCTGCCCGTGCGCCGAGCCTGTGTGAGCCTGGGCACAGACCGCTGAGCGGACGCTGAGGGGGCCCTTAGTGGAAACGCTCTTGCTATTTGTTCTGAGGGGTTTGGGCAAAGGGTCACTGAGCTGCTTGTTTCCATCCTGGCCCCTTGTTCTGGGGATTCTGATACTTCCCTTTGGAGCATTTTCACTCCCCATTTCCAAGCTTCCCGGCCTCCCACTTCCGGCCGGTCTCCATCCCTGCGCTGGGGAGGCTGCACGGCCTGAGGTGACGGCCTCCGCCCTGGCCCGCACACCTCGGCCGGGCACCAGCACACTGCCCGCGCTTTCTGCCTCCCTTCCCCCTCTCCCTCGAAGCCTGGTCCCCGCAGAACTGGAGGGGCACCCTCTGAACTCCACGTCTGCCCCAATGAGGTCGCCTCTCTCAACTCAAATCTGCGGCCTCTTCTGGACAGTCTTGTCCCACCCACTTCTTCAAGCTGCAATAAATGTTACTTTTTCTCAACCAGGGCAACTCATCCATGTAGACATGATGTATTTATTTGCAATGGTATTAGGGACCACTTTGTATCCACCTTTGTATCAATGAATAGACAAAGAAGTAGATACGACAGCACATATATGTGTTTCCAAACGTCCTGAAGAATAACATTGGAAACAAATATTACTTTCTACAGAACCATAAGCCTCAGACTGTCTGTGTGTTTGTTAGTTTGAGACAGTGTCTCGCTATATAGTTGAGGATGGCCCTGAACTCACTGTGTAACTCAGACTGGCCTTGAACTCACAGTGATCTTCCTGCTTCAGCCTCCCAAGTGCTGGGAATACAGGTGTGCACCGCTATGCCTGGCCCCTTAGACTGCTTTTAAAAAGCCACAGTGATACCCACCCCTCTAAAAAAAGCTACAGTGAGTTGGGGTGGGGCACACACCTGTAGGCCTAGCTACTTAGGAGGCTGAGGCAGGAGGACTGCGTAAAACCAGAAATTCCAAGCCAGCCTGGACAACATGGTGAAAGTCTATCTCAAACTAAGACAGACAGACAGACAGACAAAAAGAAGAAAGAAAGGAAAGGAAAGGAAAGAAGAAAAGAAAAGAAAAGAAAAGAAAAGAAAACTCATATGGAGGTCTCAAGCCCTCTGTAGCCCAGAGCCTGCTGCCTCCCCAAAGGAGCAGAAGCAAGGCAGACACAGGTACACAGACTGTTCCTCCTGACACATCCTCTCCTGTCCCCATTTTCCCTCAGGAATTCATCTACCTTGAGTTTACAGTTCTACTCTGACAGAGATCCAACACAGTATATGATGTGCAAGGGATTTAAACTTGAGCTCTGAAAAGGCCAATTTCTTCCCCAGTATAAATCTCTCTCTCTCTCCTCTTTGAGGCAGGGTTTCACTATGCAGTTCAGGCTGGTCTTGAACTCACTTCGTAGCCCAAGCTGGCCTCAAACTTGCAGCAATCCTCCTGCCTCAGCCTCCCAAGAGCTGGGATTACAAAAATTTCTAATAAGGAAAAGAAGAAAAAAACCATGTCTGTTGTAGAGGCTAAATGTTAAATTCTCTTTTCTCAAATGCCTTTTTGTGAAAGACACTGAACTCCATCAGAAACAGTCTCTGAAGAGTCATACTCATAAAGGATGGTGCCAACATAATACTTCTCAACTTGGTTACCACGTATTTCGCGTACTTGACATTAAATATTAAAAATGTAGCATAGTTTGGCATGGCAGAGGGGCTCTGGACGTCCACAATGGCCTCCCCTCCTCACTAACTGCTTTTGGATTAGTTCTGAACTCTTCTATGTGTCATCTCTGCAAAATTCGGATAATATCAGTACCCATCTCATAAGACTGAATGGGTAACATCTTCGAAGCACTTCTGTAGCACAGAACCTGCACATAATAGGAGCTAAACAATTATAGCGACGAGAATAATAGCTGTGACAATGAAGCCGCTGAGAAGAGGCTGTGTCTGTGGAGAGAGGTAGATTGGCTGGCACTGACACACCAACATATTCAGGCTTGTTTCTCTTTGGGAAAAGATCATAAGCGATGTGTGCCCCTCCCCCGTGTGTGTTAGATATTAAACAAAGAGCACGGCTCAAACAGTGAAAAGGCTGCAAAGCACTAGAGAAAAACCCACGGGTGCAATGTACCGTGTGCACACGCATGTGCGCTAGGTGCTGTGTGTGTCTGAGCCTGAGGTGCCTGTAAGGGTTTTTCTTTTTTGAGGCAGGGTCTCTTGCTCTGTTGCAGGTCTCCTGGCCTGGACTCCTGGTTCAAGCCATCCTCCTGCCCAGCTTCAGTTGCTGGGACTGTAGGCTGGTACTGCCATGCCTGCGTGTTCTAAAGCCTTTTCTTCTTTTCTTCTTCTTCTTCTTTTTTTTTTTTTTTTTTTTTTGTGTGTGTCTTTTTGAGACAGGGTCTCAGTATGTGGTTCAGGCGGGGCTTGAGCTCACTTTTGTAGCCCAGGCTGGTCTCAAACTTGCAATGATCCTCCTGCCTCAACCTCTCGAGTGCTGGGATTGCAGGCCCAGCTAAAGACTTTTAAAGATGAAAAGTTATTCTAGGGGCTGAGGGTGTAGCTCAGGGTAAAGCTGCTGCCTAGCATGCGGGAGGCCCTGGCTTCTATCCCTGGCACCACTGGATACACAAAAATTAAAAGTTACTCTAATTGTATAAGATTAGGTACAACTGAGTGTGTGTCCCAGATTGCCAAGACACTCAAGGCTGCAGCCAGCTGTCCTACCGTAATTATTAATAGTGCCCCTTTGTGCCCACAAGAATGTCCTTATTTATATATATTCACCCTATATAACTATATAAAGAAACGTTCCTGTTTCTAAAGCGAAAACAACACAGACATTTCTAAAGTTCTTGTTCACTTTCTGCAAAAGAGCCCAAGCTACACAGCTTCACAAAAGAAAGTGGTTTCAGCCTGGGAAGCGTTGCGTGTAATCCAGGGTTTGCATGCCATTTTTACTGTATTAAATTTTTGCAAGTAAAAGCAAACTGTGAGGAATGGAAGCAAACCCTAACCATTTCAGAAGAGCGATTTTATTTTTTCTTTCCTAACACGGGGGCACAAGAAATCAGTCGTTTTTAAATTCAAATGCTCCCTGTGGACTTACTCGACCATTGCCTTTGGCCCTCTAAACCTAACACCAAATTTACTAGTTACAGATAGGAGCTCAAGCTCGAAACACAGTGGAAATGTAAATTTAAAATGCATTTTAGAAACAATTTTAAAGTAAAATGCACTTTTTAATTGGCTTTGGAACTAGATAAAGAAATGTTTTCATATTTACATTAGATTGGATCCCTTTTAGGGAACGCCAGAAACATTATTCTGCTTCATCTCGCCTTAAGACTTCAGGAGCACGAAAAAGGAGTTATGTTTATGAAAACAAAAACCGATTCCTCCCAAGGTAGCACTAACGAGGCATTCTTATGCACTGGTAAGGCACTGCCACTTTATTTTTACTTTATCGTTTGTGAGAAGTTGTTTATATAAATTAGACAGAAATCAAGTTCAACAGACAGCTAAAAATTATTTACTGAGATGCCTGGTTGAAAATATTCTGGAATAATAACCACACAGCATTGCAAAATATCACGACGCACTGTCTGGAGTAGAATCAAATAAATATGCTAAAGAGTGTTTGTCAGTGTTCGCTGTTACAAAATCACAACGTCTCAGGGTACAAACAACGAGATTGTATAACGTCCCTACAGCATTTTTCAGAACTAACAAAAAGAAAGGGTGGGGGGAAGAGGTGGAGAAACTCAGAAAAACAAAGTGGCGAGAACGGCCGGGGGAGGGGCGCCCGGGGCCGCGGGGCGGAGGGCCCGACGCCGAGGCGGTGAGATCACCGGCCAGCGGCGCGGACCTGAGAAAGTTGAGAGTCACCGCGACTCGGGCCGGGCTCGCCGCCGCCCG